AAATCTGAAATGAAATTATCTCTTTGAGCCTCCCAGCTGCTCCAGCAAAGCTGCAAGTTTATGATATGAGAGTGCAGATGTAATGGACAGTTGCCAGAGGTGGTTCTACATGATTGACCTTCACCCATTTAAAGGAGAGTGTGATACGTGAAAGAATATCACCCATCAGTGATGGGCAGTGCCTTGCAAGGAGGCCTTGTATGCAGCTTGAAGCCCATCATCGGGTTAGAAAGAGTACATGAAGGGAGAAAGGGCTAACAAGCCACATGGGTCCCTCCACATACACGTTTCTTTTGGTTATTTTTTCTGCTGCGTATTGCTTGGTGTTATTTATAGTAATTTGAGTTCAGAGTTCACAGACGAGCCTTCAAAATAGAATTAGTGGAACTTTTCTCAGAAAAAGAAAAACAGCTGCTGTTGTTCTAAAACTAAAATCATTAGCTGAAAGATGCCAGAACCTGCTCAGAGCTTTAAGGTCAACATGATAAACACATGGGTTAATCATCACAAGCAGCTCTTTTTATGTTACACACCAGTATGCTAATCTTTTCTGCTGTTGACGTAACATATTTAACAGTGCCGCTTTAAGGTTGTGTCTTTTGTAGTTGAAGAGCTGATTTTAGCGTGCATGTTAGGAAAGGATAAAAATGTCTTCCTTTGGGTTTTATGAAGACATCTCTAAATCCAAATGTATTTGATTTACAAGTCTGAGGTCAACGCAGTGGTGTTAGCCTACTGATTCTCCTCTGCTTTAACTATGATGCAGTGCTGCTGGGTGGCAAAGGAAGCAGTTTTTTGTGCAGCGTATGACACAGTAGACGTGCCATAGAAGAAAAAGCACCGACCCACTTAATAGCATTAGGGTCATATCAGCCTCAATCCAGCACAAGGCTTCTGCTGGACTGTCTCAGATTTGCATAAAAATGTATGCAAATCAAATTTATGACAGAAAAATCTCTTTTTTTTTACAAAATAATTCTACTAGAGGTTTGAGTGATAGCAGCGCAGGTTAATCCTGACTGTACAAAGTTGTAATCATATTTAAATACAACCCCAGGTGAAGAACAACACATGACACATTGCACCATGTCATTAATTATTTAACAAACACTTAGATCCAGCTTTAGCAGCCACGATCATTTTCTTTATGCCTTTATCAGTTTTTCGCATCATTGTTGGGGAATTTTGGCTCACTCTTATCTTTACAAAGCTACTTCAGATGGTTAAGATTTGCAGGAATTCATTTAATCACAGTTCTCTTAAAGTTCCATCAAAGTGTTTTAATCGGGTTGGACTTTGAGTTCATAGCTGGCTCAATGACTGCAAAGTGCCCAGGTCCTGTGGCTCCAAACAAGCCCAAATCATCACCCCTCCATCACCGTGTTTGACAGTTGATATGAAGTGTTTGTGCTGATATGCTGCGTTCGGTTTTCTCCACACTAGCCACTGTCCATCATAGTCAAATATCTCCAATTTGGCCTTGTTTGTCCAAAAGGACACTGCATCAAACGTCTTATGATTTGTTCAGATGCAATTATTTTTTTCAGAGAAAAGGCTTTGTTCTGGCAACCCTACAAAGCCGCTACTTGTTCAGTCTTTCGCTAATTGTATTCTCATGAATTTAACAGGCTAACTGAGGTCTGAGTCTGAGAGCTCTTAGGGTTTTTTTTGCAGTTTCTCTGAACATTGCACAGTTTGACCTTAGAGTGAATTTGCACTTCTGGGAAGACTGGCTGGGGCCTTAAATTGTTTCCACTTGTGAATAAAATCTTGCTCACTGCAGAATGATGGACTTCAAATTGTTTAGAAGCGCCCTCATAACCCTTCCCAGATTGATGGGAAGCAGCACATGCTTCTCTAAGATCACTGCTGCCGTCTTTCCTTCTTGACATTATGTTAAGATACACCCAAACACTCCAATCCAGGAAACTGCTAACACGTCTCCTTTCTTAAAGGCGTTCACATAGCTGATGATCAGTTAATAAGAGACATTTAATTAGCAGCACCTGGCTCCAACTGACCTCCTTTACTTGGTTTCTCACACGGCACTTCTGAATTTTGGATGAATTTTTGTTAAATAAGTCATGGCATGGTGTGGTATGTCATGTTCTGTTGTTCATCTGAAGTTGTTTTTACATAATTTATGTTTGAATGTGCCCTGATACATTAAACCTTAGAAGTGAAGGAGTGTGTGCTTTTTTTCTGTGGAAACGGGGTGAACTTGCTGTCAAAACATGCAAAGCCATTGTACGTAGTCATGCTTTCAGTTTTATGGTTTAATGGTGACAGATTTCCAAAACTCTTAAATGTGTTTTAAGCGAGTAATTATTCAGGCTTTGTGGAAACAGCTGGGGGTTAAAGCCTCCATTATTTAATATAAACTGAGATGAAGTGAGACAGATTTTAGACATAAACAAATCATTAAAACTTGCATTCAGTTACTAAATACAATGAGCCATGGGGCTCTACACAGCCACCTTAAAGCGTTAGAGTCTTGGTTGTTTCAGGGTTTTTTTTTTTTGCCCTGTTGTCTGAAAGGGATTAGCTGAGTTTTCAATGAAAAATGCATGGCGATGTTTTTTTTGGTTTTTTCGCTTGAACCTCAGGGCTGATTATTTCTTTTAGTCCTGAATATTTCATGTTATAAATGTATTTTAATATAACATGTGAAAGCAAGCAAGTTTGCAAAGGCTTAAAATATTTAAGATCAGACATAATAGTTCAGAATATATTTGTGTGTTTTAAACTTTTAGTGAGGGCTGACCGCTTTGTTAACATTCGGGTTGAGGATGGACACACCCTTGGAGATCTACAAGGGGAATTATTATTTAACGGTGGAACAAAACATTGGGTCAAAGCGCCACATTAACCATTTTAAAGCTTAATATCTTACAGCAATGTTGCCTGGAGTGCTTTTTTATAAACCTTGCATTAACATTAAGAATGAATGCTGTGATATACACGGTTACATAGGGGGCTGTCACTGTGTCCTGCTTTCTGGTATGTCCTTGGTAAGGCATCAGTGTACTGTGTATACACACAACTTACAACATGTGACTTACACAAAATAAAAAGCAGCAGTACTCAGAGTGATATGAGTTTCCATCACAGAAAATTGAATCCCCCATCAGTGAAAACGGGTACAAATATTGAGTTGACGTATTATTTTTAATGTCTGCACTCTAATTTGATTTCTTTGTGACATGTACAGAGGTCTCCAGTGAACTCAGAGTACAGTGGGTGTGAAGATGGAGGCAGAAGCAGAGCAAAAATGCCTTTGGATGGTGACAGTGGGACAAAAATAGCTCAGGAGAATTGGCAGTGGACTTTCGCTGCCAGTCAGTGACCAGTTTCCTTCAAAATCTCAGTGGAGAGAATCATTTCTAAAAGGCTGGTGCGCACAGTCAGCCCAGCAGTATTTCCATCTGTAAGACCTTTGATACCTTCAACAGGAGACGCCGCTTTATTCCAATCTGACATTGTTTACTGAAGATGAAGAGGAATGTGCACACGACATAAATTAATGAGATGCTTGAGAATACAATGCACAGCAGCATTCTGAATTTCAGCAGGTCTGATAAAGAAACACAGATGAGACTCTGCGTGCTCGGTACACAAACAGATTTACTGTCCCAGAAACACTTTTTAAACCAATTTTTCTTTATTTTTTTTGGGGGGGGGGCAAGTTCACTGCTGCTGTGGTGCTGACAGTAGCGAGTCAGCATTAACTGCAAATAAAACCCAAGGAGCTGTATTAATTTGATGAACGAGGCTGACTGCAGAGATCGTAGAGGGCACCTTCTGGAAGAATATTAAATAGTTGTACATATAAAAACGGGAAAAGACTCAACTTTGCAACCTAAATAAAAACAGTGCCGCCTGAATAAAGAGGCTATAAAGTTGTACGTTAAGAGCCGTGCCAGCCGAGCAGTGACATTTTTAGATTCTTTACATAATTATAAGTATTTATACTGCACTATAAAACCCTCCATTTCAGGTAAAAAGTACTAGCAATGTGCACAATTAAGCAGCACTATCTATTAATCTCTGATATCCTGGTATTTTAGTCCCGGTCTCGTGTTTTGTTTTAGTGTTGTTTGATGTGAAGCACTTTGTGATTCATCTTGAATCTGCTCTTTAAATACATTTGTTTAAAAACTCAGTTGAAGATATTATTATTTTATCTCAACTGATTATTCCTTATCGCTTTTTAACAAAACAATGAAATTAAAGAAATTGCATTTTCCCATTTTAAAAGCTGGAATCCAAACTGTTTGCATCATCAGCCCAATGCAATTTAATTAAAGCTTAGTTATTAAAGCTCAGAGCAGCAGGATCACAGCACTTTGGCTAAACTGTAGATAAACATGTCAAAATGATGCAGTTTAGTGCATGTAATGTTCAATATGGGTAGTTGAACTTATTAGTATAATTGTGTTTTATCAGTTAGCACCAACCACAAATAACAGACAATGGGGATGTCTACATCTTTGCAAGTAAATTGCTCATATTAAACCTATCAGCTGCAGAGACTTTAGATTTGTTAATCCAGATGAGCTCCATGAAAAGCAAGAAGTTTAAACTAGTATGCAGAAGTCTTCATGAGTAACTCTAATTATTGACTTTTACATTAATTACTGACAGCGGTAACCTCGAGTGATGCAGTGCACCAAGGCTTGAGTTTGGACAACAATCAAGAACCGGAGATAAAGATGTGAAGAGTACTAAAGCAAAGTTTATTAGAATTAACAAAGAAAACATCACAAAGACAAAATATCTATAAATCTATCTTATTTTCTTTGTCATACAGCAAGTTTACTCCAGACTTGACGAATAAACTTGGGAACTGTAAAGCAGTCACATTTAAAAGGTGGGGTGTAGACAATCAGCTAACCTTAAACTGTCACAAACATCCCAGAGAACAGCTTCTGTGTGAGGAAAATCTCTGGATTTTTCCTGTTTATATTCCACACACACACGCACACTCGCACACACACAAACAAACGCACGCACTCAGACCAGTGTTTTCACTTCGGTCTTTCTGTTGTTCAGACAGGATGCTACGCACTTTGCCTGGAGACTCTCGTCTAAATGAAGAGTGCTACAGTCATCGTGTAGCACCTTCAGGGTCTCAACAGGTGACAAATTATTGAAGTCTGGCAGATGACCATGCGCACATTGTTTATTTATAATTATTTACATATCTGCAAAAAAACCAAACCGTTCCCTTCGTCAGCGTCTTCACTACGCCTCGGGACCGTCCCCTCGCTCGGCGGGGCTCTCGATGCCACTGGAAACTAGTGGATCCTTGTCAGCTCCTCTACAATCTTAATCACCTCGTCCACTGTGGCTTCACGCTTCATGCCGCTGCCGTCATCGATCTGAAATTGAATGACAATTGGAGCTATGAGGCTCCAATACTGAGACAAACCCCCCCCCAGTGCCACTCAGCCTCACTCCTTCACCTGCATTTATTATTTCACTTGAGTGGACATGAAATGATCTAAAAAGCTTCTGAAAAAAATTACTCAACGCTTAGTTTCTGCCAATTTTTTTATTTATCTATTATTATTATTATTATTTTTTATATGATTGCACTTAATCCGTGTCATTTTTTTCATCACTTTCTGCTGCCTGTAGAGGCTCTTGGGTTTTCCTGCTGTGAACCGAAACTTCTTTCTACTGGGATTTAAATGATGGGCTTTCAATGAAAGTGCAAGCAAACAACACAAAAGAACTGATTACATTTTTTTCTTGGACTATGTTTTTTTTTTTTGTCCGAAAATGACTAAAATGGATAAGGCTGGATTCCAGAGTCTTCTTTGGACAGAGTAAATGTGATGGCATCACTTCAGCTTCATAAAGCTGAGATTTTAATGGGCTTTTTAGCGTATTAAGATGCTAGGCTGCTGAAAAACAAAACAAGAAACTGTTAGTTGCAGGCTTAATTTTTTATATCAAATATGCAATCAGTTTTTAGTGTACCTATTTTTAGTTGCACAGAGACACCAGTGAGCAGCTAACATATTTTATTTTTATAGCAGTGATCCAACTTTAGCAGAACCCTGGCTTTAAACAGGCGTCTCCTGGCAAACAAACCATCCAAATACTTTGGACTGTCTTTATTGGCTGCTCTCGGGAGGCAAACAGGGAACAGCCTTTGTTTATCAGCTAAGTGTAATTTTTTTTTTTTTTTAAACGCAGTAAGGCTAAGAAGACACACAAAGCAGTATATTGTTATTTGTTTATCTGCCAATATTTATTTTTCCACCTGTTCTGCTATGAATGTTATTTCCAGTTCCCAGTCAGCTAATAAAAACTGTCCAAAGAGTCATTCAAAGTTCAGCGTCGCTTTAAGCCAAAAAACCACAAATACAAACTGCATCCTTCTTCACCAGCTGCTCCGGTTGGACCTGTTGGCTTCTGTCAACCTCAGTTATTACACCAGCTTTCATATTTGTTTGTTCACTTGAAATTTACTAATAACAATATGCAACTATACTAGAGGGAACAACACTGAATTTACTTCAGTGATATAGATGCAAGTCCATCTCTGCACTCGAGCTGAGTACACATGCCATAGAGAAGAGAGCTGTCTCACAAACCTAACACAAAGTATTTCTTTACACCAAAATGGCACTGCCTGCAAGATTTCCAAAGCAATTCAAGTTCCTATTTTAAAAGTTATGATACAGCTGCACACCCGGGAACAAAGTGTAAAATTTCCCGAAGGAGCCTCAGACTTTCAAAACAACTGTGGAGAAAGAGCCTCCATATTACTGGCAGGTACGTGCTGGAGAAAGTGATGGCGGCAGGAACAGACAGGCTGTAAGCTAAATACTAAACAAGCACGGGCCTGATGCCTCGCTGCTCTTTTGAACATAATACAACTTAAATATGAAAAGAGATGTGAAGACAGAGGTTTGGGAGGCGGTTTAAGATTGGACTAGAGCTGCTATAAGACTGACGAGGCCAATCTGACAAGCTGCAAGCGCTGGCAATGTTTGTCGTGAGGAACTGATGCTCTCTTGGTAATCACTGAACGTTCCAGGAAGACGGGGATCCTGAGCATACTGACTATCTCAGTTAGCAGACTTGAATCCAAGTGAAAAGATTTGGTGGGATAAAAACAATGAGCTTTTACAAATGAGGCGGATGGAAAACAGCAATTATAGACAAAGGCAATCTGACTAAAGTCATATGGTTCAGAAAGTTTAATGTCTTTCTTAAATATACTGACTAATCATTTGCAGAGGCCAGCCCACACTTTATGTGTAATCAGTGATGACAGTACCGAGGGATGTACAACTCTTTCTTGTACTCAACTAGAGGTCATAAAGGGAAAAGTCATCAACAAACTGTTGGCTTGGGATGAATAATGACTTCTATTTTGTTTTACAACATGTTATCACTACACTAAAAACACCAAGCGGACTCTAAAGAGACCTCTGTTGGTATGTTTTTGTAACAATGTTTACTCATCACTTGAAAACCATCCTGGTTAAATGTAGATCCGAACGGACATGAGCTCCTACCTGCAGAGTGCTGACAACCTCCTGCATCTTTGCCCGGCCGAGATCCAGGAAGCTTTCAATGAGGTCCCCGTCAATGAATCCCGTGGCCTGCTCCGTCTTTCGCTCCGTGTGGAAGGACCTCCAGGTGCAGCGCAGTCAAGGAAAATCAATACAAGGCAGTTGCTTCGCCTGAGGACAGCACCTTCGGTACAATAACGCACACTTTACCTCAGGCCGAGTCAACAGATATTCACTATAGTGAGAAAGCAGTCTAATAAAAGCAGCACTGCTCAGAAGACCAGAGAGAAAAGGTTGGTTGAGTCACCACGTTACTGCTGAATCCATAACAACTGTGCAATGCTTAATAATACTTTGGGGAATGTATTATCTAGACTAACATGCCTGGACAAATCAATGAAATCTAAAAAACAGAAAAATGCCCATCACAATTTCCTAAAACCAGAGGAGATTTTCTTAAGCTTAGTTTTGTCTGACCAGCGCTCTAAAACCTAAAAACAAGCCGTCGCAGTACGTCAGTAGAAGATCAATGCAACCAGTAAAACCTCACATCAGAGAAATCAGAAGTGGCTCAAGTTTAGCTTAAAAATGATAAAATAAGTCACAAAAGACTTCTTTTGCCAACTGCTAAATTGCTTTAGTTTAAGCTGTAAATACAAATCAAATGATGAGACAAAAGCCTGTGGAGCCGAATACAAATTTTTGCACACTTGAAATATCTATCAAACAAATCAAAGCGAATTAAAAGAAAACAGTATTACTCCTCTCGCTTCTCAAACCACAGCTGCCAGTGCAGTTCACCTCCATCTTTCTGACAGATGGCAAGCGTACTATAAAAGTAAAAAGGATATAAGCTGTGCTCGATTTTTCCCACGCTCTTGATGACTTTGTTGAGGCGGTTCTGCAGGTCCAACAGGAGGCTGTACCAGCCCTCGGACAGGGATGTCACCAGACCTAAACACACAAACACGCACACGTTAGTCAAAAACACAATGGAGGCGTTACAGATTTTCACCTCGGCAGTCTTTTGCAGCAGATGGGAAATACTTCTGGGTTCACATCAGCGAGAAGAATTTTAAGGACTAGATTCATAATAAACTCATAACAGCTGTATAATTAATAAATCAAAAGATCATTAGTGTGACTGCAATCTCCCTAATACAAATTTCATGCTTGTATGCTGGGACTATGTTGGGTGTAAAGAAGCATGATTTCAATAGTTCAATAATTTAAAAGATTTCCAAACGGTCTCATTTTGAGACCGACTGTGCTGTAAATATTGTAGTCGCACGGTTTTGGGGGAGTGGTGCGCTCTTCTCTGTGCTACAAATTAAAGTTCTGGCACACAGAGTGGGCTACTCTAACGCTCTGGGGAAGTAATGTGCACTCAAACTGACTGCCACAAAAAACAAAACAAAACAAAAAAAAAGCAACTTGTGAACAAAGAGTTGCACTGATGTGCAATGCAGAACTTATTTCTGTGTCTGTAAAGTCATGAAAGTGCTTTGGGACATGAGCCTGGAGGATAGCAGGGCAACAACTAACTACTATAATCATCTATTAATCTGATTAGCTTTGACTGAGAAATGTCAGAAATAAAAATGTAAAACAAAACTTGGAGCAACAACTTGATATTAGGCACTTAACGCTTTTATGTTTAATAAAAAATGCTAAAGTGAATACGCTGTATGGCAATGTGATGGAAGCCTGTGCCGTATGTGTCAATAAACAGTAAATTCTATTTAATATGCTTTTTGTGTTGCTGTGACTGATGTGGAGCAACAGAGAGACTATAAAAGTGTTCCAAATAAAAGCTGCAGAAAAAAAATGCGACATTATTTTTCTTCATCAGAGGGTTAATGAAAGGTCTTTGATCATCAGTCTACCCTCTCCTTCTCCCTTTTCCACTGGAGGATTAGTGCCAGCAACTCAGTGCACCCAAATACCACATTCTGCATCAACAGTTCTGGATGAAAAAAACCAATGAATATGCATTTTCTCCTGCTGATCTTCTAGGAACTTGTATGTAAATTTGACTCATGGCTCATCATTTGCATGTTGTCTTGTTTTGTTTAACAAACAGTCAGAAATTTTTAGATAGAATATATATGTGAAGTTGGGGAAAAAATTAAATCGAGAGGAATAAATAGATAAAAACTACAATTTATTCATTTTGGCCTCATGCTAGAACAAAACATATTTTGGAGGTTTAGCTAAAAGTGAATCAAAAAAACTAAATAAAACATTTTAAACTTCATCACACTGATTAAGCTCCGCAACTCCTTAGAAAATACTAACATCCAGTATTCTCTATTTGACTAATAACAAAAGTAAAAGATTTAGAATTTACATTTAGCATTGAAAGACTGTTCCTAAAGCTCTGCCTTTCCCAAATAATGGACTCTCCCGCGTTACTTCAATCGATCACAATAATCTTCCCATCTAAGATTACCTACTATCCGTTTTCAACAAGTTTATTGCAAGTTTATCTGCTTGTTTGTTGCTATCTGGCTGGAATAATCTTGCGGCCTTGCAGCTTCTTTCCAGTAATGTCTAATAAATCAAAACATCTCAGAGCAATAACCCTGGCAGAGGTATTTATCTTCATTAGACACTGAAGCTCATTTTAGTTTACCAGCTCCTGTGGAAACCTTTAACTGGAGCGTACAATGGAAATGCTCGTATCCTGTTAAACTTTCTTCTGACACTTTTTCAGGAGTCACAGAGAGAGTGCTGAGGGGAAATTATGTGCTCTGGGAGACCAAGGGGTGAAATACTGCTGTGTCTGAATGTTGTGTGCTCCGCGTTTTTCATCCCCGCCTTCATTACTGCCAGGATGAAAGTTACTAGTTTTAATCTGAGTAATGAGGTGTAAACTGTGATTTCTTTTCCTTTCTTATTCCTTTCTCAAATGGAAACATTAGTTTTAAAGAAATGGCTTTGGAGACATTTGTGCACCGTCTAATTAGCCTGAGGAATATGAAAACACTGACAGTGACTGTAGCACTGCAGAGCAGTCATTTGCTAAAGGACTGTCATTGTGAGATTTTTCACCGGATTTATTTATTTATTTTCTTTTTAAATTTCCTACCTAATCTGTTAGAAAACTGTTCACAGGGATACCTGTGGTTTATCCTGAGCAATGGAGGCAGCGTTTTGAAGCTTTTGATCAACAAAAAATATGCAGCTCTGTAAAACATAAAAACCACCTGGCTGTAATAATCTGCTATTGTCTTAAAATATCACGGCGCCGCCACTGCGTGCAATAGGTCGGCAGCCTTATGAAATTTCCCCTTGTGGGACTAATAAAGGTATATCATATCACATTTCAAAACAGTAGAAAGAAGTAAGAAAGAGAAACCAGGTTTTTTAAATTAAAACTCTAAAGACTTGTATAATTCTTCTCATTATTCATCTACATATGCTGATCAGCAAAAACACAGAAAACACAGAGGTGAAAAGATCAACATTGAGAATCTCACTAGAACTGGTTAAAAACAAAAAGAGAGGAAAAAAAATGCTGCCTCTTAGACCGTGTCCTTTTCTGGCGCATTTCATGATGCACGCCTTACTGCTTGAAAAGAAAAGAGCCTGGGTGCTATAAACTGGCCTGTCCAGACCAGTCACCTGAGCCAGTAAGAGAGAAGATTTCTCTCTTAAACCTACAGCAACTCCTCAGTTCATCAATAAAGAGCGTAGCAAGAAGAAGAAGAGAGAGATTCAATAAAGTGCTCAACATCTAACCTTTGACAGCATTAAATTTAAAATGAACTGTATTTCCAAAAACAGTTTCATTTTATTATCTTTTAAAATTAAACACAGGGTTAAAATGAGCTTGTTCTATTTACATCTTACACCACAGAATAACTCCTGCTATCAATCCTCTATTGAATAACGATGGAAACTCCCAGCAGTGGCTACTACAAATAAATCCATGCTAATCTATAAAACTGGACATTACTAATGATAGGTGAAGTAATGCTAAAAGAGAAATTTCAGCAGTTAAAAATCAGATTTAGCCAACAGTTAGATGACTGGAGCCCCTGACTTCTCAGTGCATCTTTGCACAAAGGCTGAAAAACAAGGAGGGCGGGGATAAATCTTGCCTGGCTCTGAAAACTATCTACCTCCCGTCACTTCCACTAATTAACAAATTATCTCTCATTTGTCTGACCAGGACAAAAGCCAAGGTGAAAGTAAAGTTTTGGAGTGCTACATGCTGAAAAGTTACTTGGCTGGGAGCCTCCACTCAGTTCAAGGAAACCAGTGGACAGTAGGAAGTTCCTACTACCAGCCAAGAAACAGTGCACCGTTTGTCTTTGTGTAGACTGAGAGGCAGTGGGAACTAAATATTGTTACCTTTGTCACTTGGCATGTAGTTTCCACCTCTTCTCAGTCTTGGGAAGCTAAGCTAACTAATACTGGCTAAGCTAAACTAAGCTAACTAATACTGGCTGTAGGCTTACAGCAATTTGTCATTTGTCATCAGTGCACTTACCAATCATGCCATTAACCGTGCCAAAGAGCACTGAGCCCTGGGTGGGTGTGGAGCTCTCGCCGAGGTTCTGCAGCACCAGCGAACCATGGCAGAAGACATTTACAAACTCCCCAAGGTGAAACAGCCCCACTTCCTGCAGGTGCTGACGCTCCTCATCTGTGGTGGCCGCACTGACCGGAGAAAGGACGGTGGGAGAGAAATGCAAAAGGTGGAGAGTGAGGGATTATAAACAATAAAGAATAAAACATGTGAGAAAAAGAGTTGATGTATGAGCAAACAGGAGAGAAAAAATAAAGTGCAAAAACAAAGAGAAAATTATGTTAAGGGAGAATAAATTATTGGGGGACAGACTTGATCGATTAAACAAAACAAAAAGCAAGGGGGGCAGAGATATTAAAAGCGTTAGAAAAGGTCAGAGAATGATAGAGAAGTAATGGATAAAAGGGTGAGAAACGGGGGAGAGCAACAGGAAGAGAGATGTGACACAAAAATAAAGGTCAAAAGCATTGAGAGGTCCAGCTTGATGTAGAAGGCGGATAATAAGCTGGGACATAAATGTAGCACACTCACTTCCAGATCACATCTTTCTTACTTTTCCTTAAAGTCAACACTTGTTTTATAGCAGAATTACTAAAGAGAGAAAGGCAGCAGAGTGACTAAAAGTTCACCGCTGAGATAACTTCCAAAACAAATGCAAGGACAATTGCTGCTGCATCACATTCACTCCAGTGATGGTGCTCTACAAAGTACCGTGCAACTCACGGTAAAAAACACCCTCATAATAAGATGATACTGCTTTCAGTGAATAAATGTTGGAGTTGACACAAACTTTTTGATGGCTGACTTCAATGGAAAATGTAATGGGGCCGTAATGCTTACAGGAATCATTCACGTTAATGTGCAAAACTACTCACGGCACCGTTTATACAGCTCCTCCTCACCTGTCCTTTTGGCAGACAAACAGATTGAAGGCGTTCTCCGCCCCCAGGAAGTTGTCGTCATCCAGAATTTCCACTGCACTCATCCAGTTAGGATTGAAGTCACGGGCAATCTAAAGCAAATAATAAAAAAACAAAACAAACAAACGTAAGATATGTCAGAGAAAACAGTAAACACCAGAGAGGTCCTGGGCAAAACAAAGGTGGTACTTGTCTCCAAGTAGATACTGCATTATCTATGAGCTAAGAAGTGCTGACTCCAAACATACTGCTTTTATGTTTCAAGCCCCGAGCAACATGAAATGTCCTTGAATACAAAGGCATGAAAAATGCTTTTCAAATCTGTTCTATTCATGCTGATTATGCGCATAGAGGATCCTGAACTGGGTCTATGATGGACACTATATATAACTCAAAGTATTGGCACTGTGAGCTCACTGGCTTATTTTAAATGAAGGATGCTAGATCATGTACAACTCCAGCAATAAGCCAAACATGCCCTAAACAATGCTTTATCATCTATTTTACTGTTAATATGAGTCTAATTGGCAAAGCAGATCACCGTGCTGTATTAAAGATGACTGAAAATTAGTGTTTGAGATGATAAACACATTAAGATGACCCCTATTGATCATTACAAAGAATACAGGTTCACACGACTACAGATAAATATAAGGCCAATATTTACTTTTAATCTTGTTTATCTTCTAAGGTAAATATCTAGCTGTTTATCTGTTGAATGTGTCATTACATTCAAAAGCTAGTTGCAAACTATCGCTGCTTTCTGTTTGGTGTTGAGCAGTAGGGGTTATACTGTAATATCTATCTTGAAATATTTCAGGAAAGGTGTGATAATGATATTTCTGGCAATGTAGAAAAAAAAAAACTGAACTGAAGCAGCACTTATAAGTGTAAATAAATGAAGGACATTTTCCAGCCTCTTCCAAAGAGCTACTGTCCCTGATGACACACTTCCTAATTTGAAGTGTGAATCTACTGAAACAAGTTGCTAGCAGCAGGAACAATATAGTGCAACAGTAGTGACACAACATAAATCAGGTGTAGCACAAAAGTAGTTTGAGTAGCTAGTTTTCCCAGGAAATCGTTGAAAATAAAGTAAATGCTTAACACTAAGTAATTTAACATGGTAGCAGATAGGGCTGTTCGATATAACGATATATATTGGATGACGATATAAAAACGTCTATCGTTTCATTTTACGTTATCGTTTGTTTCGTTGTGTCGCAAAATAAACTGTTTACGGTAATATTTTTTCATCGTTCTGATGGTCACTGTAGTGGCTATATTAATTATATTAATTTCTCTCTTTCTCTTATATATATATTTAATATAACCACACTACTGACGGACAAGCGCCTGTTTTTATGCCTTGTGGTTAGCAACAGCGACGGTAACACCTTCGCGTGTCCGCTTGTTTATGTTCCACATAAACCTTTCACAATAAAGCTCAAGATCCTGCTGAGACTTTTCAAAATAAACTGAATCACGTGAAAGAGCAGATTATTTACGGATGAGAAGTAAAAAAGAGCCGCCAGGTGCTAAAAAATAAACCTTAGACTCAAACGTTAGAACAGGCAACCCGCAGCACGCCATGTAATAAATACAAAGAAAACGGCGGCCGTTACAACTTATGTCTAAAAATGTGTAGTTTCATGCATCGGTTAAAACACTCGACTCCGGTTAAAGGACGCTCAGCTGGAAACACTTCACGCAAGTCGAGCTGCCCAAGATTCACAGAATTTACAGAAAATGTTAAATTTTTGTGATTTATATCGTTATCGGGACGATAGAATTCTTATATCGGGATATGAGATTTTGGTCATATCGCACAGCCCTAGTAGCAGATGGTGTTGGGCAGCTCCTGATAAGTTACAATGTTAAATTGCTTAACTTATCAGGAGCGGCCCAACACCATCACATTAAAACATCCCACATCACCAACTGCAAGCATCTTCTTCTTTGTAGCCAAGCTGCACTGGACAGCTTTGACCTAAAGTGTTGAAACACATTTGTTGTTTCCTCGTTTTGCATGAATGGATTTCTTGCATGTTGTCGCGCTGGGTTGTATAAGTAGCTCCTGTTTTACATACTAAATCGTCATTGTAGGCTGACAGGTGTGGCTGTTGCTCTCACACACGCCTTGGCTTGTCTCGTTAGTCCATGCACTAGAGTGTAAATGTATGCCACAGCTATAGCAATGATATCACAATACGACATTTTAATATCACATATCAAATTGATTGTGTTATTGTGAATGATGTTAGAGTCCTGATGGCCAGATAGAGAAATATACAGCACTGTACACCAAAACAAACAGCCTGTTCCACCGAACCAAAGCTGCTGGCAGAGAAAATTAAAGATTTTCTATCTCCCAACAGCAAACTACAGAGTTTAGTACTTTTTCTTTTTCTTTTTAGGTGCAACACATTATCTATTTTAATTGTAAAATATTGATTATACTTGCTTTGGTATGTAAGTAGATAATATTTTCCATCTAAAATTTTAAGGCACTTGAAGGTATATTTTGTTTCTAAATAAATTCAAGCCCTTTTGGTCCCCAGGACTTATTACACTGAGCACAACAACACAACACACACACAATAGGATGCGTGACTCATCATCAAATCTCTGTATCTTTCTTCCACAAATCAATTTGAACACTTTGCTCATCAGAAGGCTGGGAGGTATGAGGCTATGCGTGGTAGACATTAAAAAAACACAACAACAACATTTATACCCTGAAGAGAAAAGTTACAACATGCAAATGTGGGTAAACAGACACTAAACCAAAGTCTTTAAAAATAAAATAAAATTCTTTCAAAACCAGCAGCCTTGAATGAAACTCAAGGTTAATTTGTGTTTTCACAGCTGTTTTCAGTACAGACAAACCAACTTGTTTGATATATTAAACCTTCTCTTCTTACCTCTTCAAAGTTGCCCTCCATGGATTTGTATGCCAGCAGCAGAACGGACCTCATCAAGTCTCCCACCAGAATGAAATCTCCTTTGGTCTTCAGGTAAAGGGCCATAATATTGTTGTAGTGGTTACACTCGGTCCTCAGCTCCTTCTCGGCCGTCCACTCGTACAGACGGACCTTAAACAAAACAAGAAGTGTGTATAATTGTTGGTTGTCAAGCTGCCAAAGATAAAAGCATCAGTGATCAGCTTTAGCCATGTTTGATGAAGTGTATGACATTTTACTTCCACAATGCTATCACTCCAGATTGTGTGTGTGAGCATGAAGGCGAGGTGCTGATTGAGTATGTGAATTATAAGCTGCAACATTAATCGGCTAATTACACTCGCAGTTTCATGCTGTCTGCACCAGCTAACAACTTTTTTTAAATTAATTTGAGTCAAGCAATTGACAAAACAAAAAAATCAAGGTAGATTTCTGTGACCAAATTTCTACTCATGACGGTAAACTCAATAGAACAAAGACTAGTCGGTTTTATTTGGAATGATTATTATTATCATTATAGTCTTCATCTATTGTTATTATTATTTCAAAAAATGTAACTACATGTAAAAAGTTTACATTACAACAACAACGAAGAAATCCAAAAACAAAACAACTTCATCCTTTATTCATTTAATAACGTTTTTTTGTTTTACTTTCGGATCTATTTTTTTCTTTGTTTTTTTATAGTTGAGTATAATTTAAAAATGTAATAAACATTTTCAAACTTTATTTACTCAGCTGTACTAGAGTTACTAAGAGGGAGAAAACAAACAAACAAACAAAAGAAAAAAGAAAAACGAAAAAAGAGAACCAAAAAAAGATGGTTGCCCAGTGATTACATCAAATTTCAAGTAGCTGCAATCACCATGCAATATCCTCAACCTCTGGGTCACCAATTTTGATCACAAGGTGATTGCACAGGTCGCTCGTCTCTAAACAATCACAGTCTCACTTCGATCTATTTTGTATTCCTACGCTGCAATCAATCTGAATCAGTAATGACTCTTGACTGTTTGTCTTTGCAGTAGGGGACTCCACTCAGCTTGTAGTCCAATATAGGAACAACATTTCTACTTTAGTCAGGAATTTCATAAATTTCCAGAAAAAATTTTAATTATTTGTTTGTCCATATCAAGTTTGAGCAGAAATAAAGAGTGTTGTGCTTAAAAGACACTAAGGTGCAGAAAGAAAGATCCAAGTGTAAAACTCTGTAGTTTAAAAACAAACAAACAAACAAAAAAAGATAAGAAAAAATAAGAAAAATTGTCCAGTAAAAAAATCCCAAACATTTTGCATAATGCTCTACTGAGGTTGTCACCATAAAGAAAAATTAATACTGCTTCCAGGATTGATTACCCTTTAATCACTGTTTATCTTTGGGAGCTAGAAGATAAGTTTGATGTGGAAAGTTAGCTGCAGTGAGTGATGAGTTTCAGATATCTGAAACTCATCACTAAATCTTTGGATAAACATGACTTTCTAGCTTTTAATCCTTTTAATCTATCTATATCTTAGTGTGAATGAGTGTGGTATTACAAAAGATAGGGGAGTGAGGCTGTTTCTTTCACACTGTATGTCAAACAATCCTCATATTCATCCATTGTGGGATCAAATGATTTAGATATTGAAGAAAAACTGCTAAGGAGGCAGTCATTTCCTGTCACAATCAAAGAAAGTCAAAACATGCAAATCACTTGAAAGTGGACTAAATGAAGCACACTGACCAGTCTGACTGAAAAAGTATTTGTTTTGTATATTTGTCACACTTAAATTTTTCAGATCATCAAACAAATTAAATATAAGAAAAAGATAATAAAAACAAAATGCCATTTCTTAATGAAGGTCTTTATTGAGGGCCAAAAAATCCACACCTACATGGGCCTGTGCAAAACAGTTAACCCCCTTGTTTTAACATAAATCAACTCCAGCCACACCCAGGCCTGATTACTGCCACACCAGTTCTCAATCAAGAAATCACTTAAATTAGGACCTGCCTGACACAGTGGAGTAAAACAAAATTCTCAAAAGTGTGACAAATATTAAAAAGGAACTCAGGAAGGGGGCGAACACTTTTTCACACCACTATCTAACCTCTGCAAATTTAAAACGTTCACCACTAGGGGACAGCATTATATCCATGGTTGTGTTGTGCTGGTTTTGTTTTATTTTAAATGTTTATCTTTAGGTCTATTCTCATTTCCTCATTCCAACGTCGGACATGAGAATGTGTTATTTTGGTCGCCTACATAAATGTTATATTAATTCAATGCTCCATCTTGTGCTACAAATTCATATTATATGAAAGTACAGCCTGGTCCCAGGTCACCTTCAGTTGATGTCTCTCCAGCACAATACAAAGAAGTTTTACAAAAGTACGCTTAAGGAATAAACACTTTAGAGTGTAAATGTTATATATTCACATACTATTTGGAAGAGAATATGCAGCTATTCTTCACGTTAAGGTGAAATGAAGGATCCAAGTGAAAGTTTCTCTAGCTGGAAGCTTGAGCATCTGCAGAGCCAGGTCAGTTACAGTATAAAAGTAAACACAGTTTTTTCATAACTCAGTTTCCTCGACACATGGTGAGAAAACTGAAGCAAAATAGAGAGGTGCTGCTTTTAATCTCTGGACCACATGGTAAATTGTGACGTGGGCAGTGAAAAGCAATTGTGATGGAGGTGCACTTGACTCAGGCACCTTCCCAAGGGCCGAAAGTAAAGATTTAATTGTGCAAGCAAGTTTTTTCAGTAAAAGAAAAAAATAGAATCTGACAAATTAAAACAATTTAACCTTCAAGCTGCACTTTTTCTTCAGGTCTTCAAGCATGACTATAAGAAAAAGTCAAGATTTTTCAAAGACCAGCTAAAAATACTAATGTCCACTTACTGTGCTATTTATGCTGGCCAGGAATTTGCCATTGAACTCTACCATAGAGTAGACAGCTCCTTTCACCTCCTTTTCAGCAACGGTTTGGAGCTTACCTGGAGGAAAAAGCAGAGTGTCTCCCAGTCAGTCTTGTGTTAACTTTCAAAGCATTAGACATGAAAGGTTGAGTTAAACTAGCTCCTACAAAAAAAAAGTGACTACTGCTTAATTACTGAGAGATGTGGGAAAAAGTGAAGAAAGGAAGACGGATGCGTTCAGAATGAGGATAGGCAAAATGAAGAGTTGCAGGAGGATAAACGAAAGGCACGCAATGCACCTTGAGAGGTGCGCAGTGTGAAAGGAAATGAGAAGAATCAGTAGTGTCGAGAGGAGGGTGGTCTGATAAGAAGTGATAAGAAAATGATTAAGTGAGGAGGGAAACAGGAGCGTGGCAGGACAAAGTGTTCGTGCGTGAAATACAGGACAGAGGGTGGAGAGGAGAAAATGAAAACAGGTGAAGGATGAAGAGAGCAAGGCGAAATGAGCCGGGCTGAGAAGGCAAATGGGATAAAGGTTGAAGAACAAGACAGAAAAGTGATTTTAGGTTTATTTGCTGCAAATGGAGAAACCTGAAGAATGTTTGGGTACTGACCGTCGGTGTAGTGGAAGACAATGATGCGTCCTTGCTTGGGCTCAGCCTCCTCTGGGTACACCATGGCGGTGCCGACGATAAAATACACAGACGGGTCTTTTCCCAGGCGACAAGACACCAGGCTGAGAGCATACTCACTGGGGAGGAACTGATGGGCATGCAGAACTGACAAATACACAAAATACAAATGACTTTGTTAGAAATGTAAAACAAGGAGAATGTTACTTGAATTTAAAGTTTTTGTTAATAGTTGAAGAATGAATCTCTTCACAAATGGAAACACTGTAACATTGCAATAAAAGTCGGACAAGGCAAGCATGAGTGGCCAAGCAGGTTTTTAACTACACTATAGAGGAAAAACTACTGCAATCGCTGTTATGATGTCCTTTCACAACACACAATGTCCACTTGAACAGTTAAGAAATATTATTTTTAAATTATTTAAGATGTTATTAGTATTGTTAGCATCTAAAAATCTAGAGATAATATCCATGATGTGAACCTCTTTTCAGTTCACAATCTAATTGAAAAGCAGTGCCGCTGGATACTGTATAAACAACAGAAAATCAACAAACACACCACACCTGCCCAGATCTCCCTCTACCATCCTCTCACGTTGCTTCTTTTGAATCAGATTTATCTCGTTGAGGTGAGAGCTCAGGTTTATCTGAATATTGCAATCTCAGCAGCACATTACACTGGACTCAATGTCGTGCAGTAATTGTATAACACTGCACAATACATCCATTAGTAGAGCTATTTTAAACACATGTCCTACACATCGTCTGGTAATTATTCGCCCAGTTCAGCTCTCCATTCGTTGTTAATGGATGGCTTCATAATTAGACAGCATGCTTTTGTCTTCTCATCCAAATATTTTATAGCCAAGATGGAGGATTGCCTACAGCTTGTATACAGGTCTGTTTGATTGTTCTTGGCCCATTGTACTTTTTTTTGTCTCCCCCATTTGTGTTTAATGCCAATTTTGATGTGTGAAGCTGAACAAGATTTTCAGAATAATGTAGCAAACCGGGCTGATCCCCTGCATCTGTATACTATGAAGACAGGCATAATTTCTAACCTCCCTCGCTCTCTTTTTAGTTTTATTGCACCTGTCTAGAGAGGAAATTTTTCAATTTTATTGCTGCTTTTGCTCATTAACCTAGGCAGTGTAGGTGGAGGTAATTAATAAAATATAACTGCATACAAATCAGGATCTGCACCCTAATGCATCAAAATGTGTCTCCATATCTGATGGAAAACTCACAACATCTAAATAAGCAGTTATCTGATTGCACATTAATAAAGCAGAATGGGATGTGGACACAGTGTGCTGAGCTAGTCCCTTATTTACATATTATTAACATATAACATACACTAATTTATGTGGGGATGGTCATGTCTGGGTATTTTAAAAAAAAGAGGCTTGGTGCAGTAAAATCTGCAATGCAAAACAGACTGAAGGAAATCCTGCCTGGGATTCAGCTTGAACTGTTTGCATGACTCCCAAAAATCATTCAGTTATTTAATAAAGAGCCAGAGGTTTGCTTTAGATACAGAATGCCAAAACATTTATGTTTTATGAACCTTTTTACAATCATAGAACACAAAAAACCCACCATAAAAACACAAATATTTAAGCAGAAAATAAGATTAAATAAACGAAAACAGCAACTTTTATTAGCAAATGATGACCATGCACCATATTGCCAACAATTTTACATTACTTTACTATCATATGCTCCTAGCTCAAATGGAAATATATATTCTGCTGTCTCACCTTCAAAGGTGTGTTGATCCACAACCAGCAGATTGTGAACCTCCACCTCTTCCCCGAAGGAAGTCTCGTGGGGAGAAGTGCTGCTGGGGAAGAGCTTGCTGGAGCTCACACTGCTAGAGAGAGCCTAGAAGGATGCAGATTTATGAGATGGAACAAGCAAGAGAAGGGCAGACAAAGCCAAACACAGGTTTATAAAACAATTCAAATCCCCATTTCAACATGAGCTGTGTGAACAGCGCAGTCGGCACCATCTGTGGCAGCAGATGTGCAGCATTTTAAAATCAGGTAAACATCATTCTGGTCATCACATGTGAGAGGCGCTCTGGCAGTAAATGCAAACACAAATAAAAGTATACACCTGTCCCCTTGGAGAAGATAAAGAGCCATGCTGAGCGGACATAACACATACTGCCAGTGTGGACGTTTCTGATTAGCTCTCCATGTGAGAATCCCTTTGAAAGTCTCATTCTACTATTTTTTTTTTCTTTCTTGTCAGCTAAAAAGTCGTCATCTGCATTTCGTGTCAACAAATTAAACAAAAGCTGACTATGTTCCCTGTTGTTAAAATTTGATGTGAACTCTAAACTTTAACCAGATAAATTGAGCTTGACTGTGAGCAATAGTAAGAGATGACAATGGAATAAAGCAAATGCCCTAATCCTTCCTCATTCATTCACTCTGCTGCTTTCTAAATGGCTTTACAGGACAAATGTTCTAACAATAATTGTAATCCTTCAGGGTTCCTGCACCATTTGGAAATAAAAATTAATGTTTTTATATTAGACTTAGAAAATAACCTATTAATCATCATTTAGACATCATACATTTACTCTTATTGCTACTACATTATTTTTGTCACCTTTATTTTTATGAGATGCGTAGTTAAATGCATGCCCTAGCGCCTATATGGTCACTGCCACTACATACAGGCAGTTTTATTTTAATGGGGCGAGACAGAATATCAACCAAAAATGAAACACAAAAAACAAATTTTAAATTGATCTGATTGAATGAAGTGCTGCGGACAGATGAAATCAAAATCCAGCTCAACCTGCTGTGAGGAAATACTGATTATGAGCTAAAGAATAACATTCCCACAGTCAAGCACAGAGGTGGAAACATTATGCTTCAGGGCTGTTTATCTCATAAGTTTACAGGATAACTTCAGTACACTGAGTAGCCAATGGATGGGGCTACGAACTGTAAAATCAAGGACGAGAACCTTTTTCTTTCACCGTGACAAGGACCTAAAACATACCACCACAGGAACAAAGGAGTGGCTAAAGCAAAAAGACATGAAGGTCTAGAGGCCTAGCCAGTGACCAGACCATAATGTTATAGAAAAGGAGGAAGGAGCTAAAGCTTCGAGTTGCCAAGTGGCAGTCACGAAACCTGCAGGATTTAGAGAGTTTTTCTAAAGAGGAGTGGGAGAAATTCCCATCTGAAATGTGTTACATGTTGACTTAAAGCTTGCACTCTATACTAAACACCTGCTGTTTCTTTTTACTCATGTGAACCACCACCACCGCCAAAAAAATTACTGACAAGTTTATTTCTTCTCAAGGCAGATGTTATGGAATTATACCGTTTTACCATCACATTTGAACATAGATACCATGATTTGCTGTTCTCCAGCCAGTACAACATGCTTTCTCTTTACACTGAAAGCCAGAAACAACCCGTTGTTATCTAATTTGTATATTTAAAATGCTAAAGATTTCTATGACAAACCTGACAATGGCTCAGTAGTTGATTACTTCAATTATGCTATTAGGTTAGTGTTTAATTAACAGCTCCCATTAATGCATTCTAAAATAAATAGATGTGATCAAAACATGAGAAGAAAAAAAAACACATTTACTTTCTGATTTTCTAAACTCAACATAGCAACATTTCGAACCTTTTAAAGCTTGCATACAGTATTGTTAATCTCTGAACAGGAAACCCTTTACTGTAACAGCTTCAGTTACGCTCAGATTACAATTATCAGGTTGTGATTAAGCAAAGTGTAACACTGAATACCATAGGAGTCAGATTTTAGACTCCCAGCTGAGAAATTTGGGCTGCAGTGGTCCTCGCAGGTAACAAACAAGACAAAACATTTGGCGTCTTGACAGCTCACAGATTCATTTTATGAACAATATTCTCAGTCAGTGTGCCTGGCTAGATAAGAGTGCAGAACAAACAAGCCCTGTGGTGTTTATCATCCAAACACCAGGGAGGTACCGCACCTGAGTGCTCGCGCTGGGTCGTACAGCAGATGTGGTGCCGCTCACATCCTGAATCTCCACTCTGCTGGACAGAACTCCGAAACACTGGGAAACCTCCTGGTAACAGATCCGTCTGAGTGAGAAAAGACAGTGATAGAAACACGTTAGTGAATATGAAAAGAGCAAATGGGTAAACAGGATGAAAAAAAAGCACCTAGGGGAGCCTGCTTTGTGTTTTCTGACTTGATAACATAACCTTATCAATAACCTAACCTGATAGCCTTTATCAAATGATATTAAGCCATGGCTATCACTTAAAAGATTGGGGAAAAAAGAATGACAAAAAATGATCCAGCGTATGTAACAAAACCAGTGTGAGAAAGTGGTTAGAACAAATGGGCACTGCAAACATGAAGAACAAACAGCATTATTTGTACAGATGACGGATGTGAAATGCTCATTTCAAGTTCAGTTCTAACTCAATATTTGACTGACCTTGGAGATTCATACAGGGGAACAGTGCGAATGTGGAGTTTCTGAATCTCATCGATGGTTCCAATAGTCAGAGTGCTGTTGTTGGCCAGAGCCAAACTGTGATGAAAAACGCAGCATTAGTAAGGGGCGAGAAAAGAGGCAAAATACACCCACTATCTGCAAATCAAAAAGTGGGATTGTATGCATCTGTAATCAAAAGAGACTACATCTGAGTCAGCTCTGTCAGCTAGAGGATCAAAACAAAAGACGTTAAGGGCTTACGGCTACCAACTCTTCAGAGCACAGAAAAGAAAACAGATGAATTTCCCATAAAACCACACACTGATAAAATATGAAGGGAAGAAAAGTTCTGCTGCTGACCTGTCGGGGTAGCCCTCAGAGTTGAGTGGGCACATATAATTGACCTCCTTGAGGTTGACATTGGAGAACACCAGCTTGTGGTTGGAGGAATAGATAACAGTGGGTCGGTCAGAGCAGGCAAAGACATTGGAAGTGGACAGGGATCTGAAGGTCCTCAGCACAGTGGGCTGTGTACCAAGAGTGACCTTCTTACGCTCGCTTAGGGCACCTAGGAAAAGGAAACGAGATCAAACCACAGACTTGAAACAGCTTGAGAAATGGGTCTACATCCGTATTTGGGTCAAAAGAGCCTTTTGCCAAGTTCCTTTAAGCCACCCAGAAAGACGCACTGAGAGCACATCCTCTGCCAAAGCAAATGCTCTATCAGGGGGTTCACGAAATTCAACTTGGTAGTTTTGTTGATCTCGCTGGCATTAAGTATTAATGCTTTGCCCTTGTGTTCTCCTTGTATACGTTGCTTTTAATGCTCACCAAACCATTTAGTGGCCCCATGAGGTCTGAATAAAAGCATCTGCTTTAATTACGTTTCACCGCTCCATTCAGTTTTTTCTTTATCTTTTGTACAGCCAGTAGTTATAACAGCAGTATACAGAGAATAACCTGCACAGGCGTTGGCCTTTAATTTGACTGAATTACTGAACCATATTTATATGAACACACATAAATTATTTATTAATTTGCGTAGAGATAAAATCTGAAAAATCTTGTCTTAAAGTAAGGCTGAAAAGCTAGTTTATACATTGATTAGCTCCAGACTGTTGTAAATCATTATTATCTGGTCACTCTAAAAGCTTGAAAAGCCATCAGCTGATTCAGAACGTTACAGTGATTGTACTAACTGGGACTAGAGAGAGAGAGAGAGCATATTTTTCTCCCATTTTAGCTTCTCTGCCTTGGCTCCCTGTTAAATTAAGAATAGAAAATCTTCCTCACATGCAAAATCCTGACCCCATCATATCTTAAAGACCCCATAGTACCTTGTTATCCTAACAGAGTACTTCGCTTTCAAACTACTGGCTTATTTGTAGTTCAAATTTCATAAGACTATAATGGAGGGTAGAGCCTTCATCTTTTACGCCCCTCCTCTGTGGAAACATTAGGCTTAAAACTGTCCTTTTTAACAAAGCTTAAAATTAGGCCTGGATCAGGTGACCCAGGGGAATCTTTGTGATGTGTTTGTAAATGAAATATGGCATCTTTGAACTGCTGGTCTGACAAAACGAGCAATTAAAAAAAAATGTATCTTTGTACTTTAATGGACCTCATAATTTCCACAATCAGTAATGAACACGTTAACAAACTGGCTCCCCATTGGACTACATCTCAGCACATGCCTACATTTCACTGTAGAGGCAGAACAGATTAAGACTTGATTAAGAGGCATTAATGGATTTAAATGTTCTGATTGGTTGTGACTTACATAACATTCATTCTAATACAGTAATAAAGAATAAGAATCAAAAACTTACAAAGATCGCTGTAAAACACTGCCAGATGTGTTTGGGTAAATCAGACAGTGATAATGCATGCAGCTATTTAAAATTCAAAAACAGACACCTGAAAATCGGTTTTAGTTTCGTCTGGCAGCAGTTCAGGACTATTCAACTACATTTGCATCAAATGACTGCACCGCCTGTGATAACAGTTGTATAATGTCTTCTGGGGCTTTTAAATTTACTTTTTTTTACTACTGAAATGACCTCAACTGGGTATCTTGACTGCATGATATCATTTCAGTGACACCATCCAGTCGTATTCTGGGCTCAGAGATTATGCACTAGAAAGAGCTGAGCATTTAGCAGGCAGGGAATGTTTATTAGAAGGAAATACTAACATGTTGAAAGTGCAGGATGATGAAGTGGTCATGAAGCCTGAGACCTAAAATCCAGAGGTTACCAGCCTAAGCAGCTTTTATTTTAACTAGCAATATCAGAAATACTACATTAATGTTAAGCAAGCTACCAGAGAGCCCTTTCTCTATAACATGGTCAAATTCGTTTGATCTGATGTGAATGATGCAGCATACTAAATGAAAACCGAGGTAATTAGTGGAAAGTCTTTGCTAGTCCTCAGTGCGTAACATTAGCTAATGCACATATAAACACTCACTGGACTTTACTGAACTGCACAGCATCTTTTCAGGACCAAAAAGCAGACGGTTAAACACAGAAAAGCATTTATTGTCTCACTCTCAAGTCCTCCTTTTACAATTCCATTTAAATATATCCATCTCATGTCAGAGACCCTTTAATATTTCTATTCTTCTGGCCACATTTGGCCTTGATGTAGGCTGCCTTGGTCCTGTCTGTGAAACTGCTGCTTTTTTCTGCCTTTACCACATTGAAAATCTTTAACAGTTCAATGACAGCCTTTCAATCAAACTTATAACACAGCTTTCTTCAGGCAGTAGAGTTTCTGAACCAACACATCCAAATATAGTGCTGGCAGTTACGCAAGTCGACAAGAAATGATCAACTAAAAATGAAAATGCTCACAGACAGCAGCCTGTGGCCCAGCCTGAAGGTCCTCATCAGTCTGGAGAAGTCTGAGAAGCTCTTGTCTAAAGATTGTAGCGGTAACAGTGAGAAGGACCTACCAGTCTGCAGATCCAGACCAAAGTAGAAGAGTGCTCCATCTCCCAGGGCACACAGCAGGTAGTAGCTCCCTTCAAAGGTGGTCATTAGGATAGAGCGAGGAATGATTTCTGAGGACACACACAAACAAGTGATTTATTTTTGCTGTACTCTAGAGTCACTGGTTCTATACTAAAGTGATAAATGTCTGTAAAAATACCTCCGTCAGAAAAATCAATGAAGTTTATTCAGACTCTGTGGTAACTTTAAAAGAAACAGCATTTGAATGCTTCAGGATAAATATAAAGAGTTCAGTTTTGCTCAGTTTCCCAAACACCGGTTTCTTTGACTGCAGGCCAGTTACATCAATACAACTTTGGCTATGATTAAGTACTTATTGGCTGACTCACCAAAAAGCACCACTGTTCAGATAGAAGTGTACAAAATGAAAAGGGGGACATATTTCCATGGAAATGTACATCAATTATTTTTAGCTGAGCAGGACAAATGATTAAAGTTCAAACATGAAGATGTACTCTGAAGGACATGCATAGAAGGTCTAAAACACAATCAATGTAACAAAGCTAACATAGCTTAAGGGCAGGAGTGGGACGAAGTATTGAAATTCTGCTTCCACTGACAGATCTAAAAATGTCAACATGTTGAGTATTACAGTACTGTGCAGACGTCTCAAGCTACCCCTTATTTCTTTATGGGATGCTAGGAAAATATGTGCAATGATTTATTGAAACATGTCCAAACATAAATGGAAAGACAGTATTAAGGCAAAAATAGTGGCAAAACTACCTCTATTCTTCAACACAACCTGTACTCTCTCTTGCACAAGCTTTCCTTCAAGTATCAAATCAAATTCAAATTTTATTTGTCACGTACACACTCATACACAGTACGACATGCAGTGAAATGCTTAGACAACTGCTCGTGACCTAAAGAAAAAAAGAAAAGGCTACAAAATACATATATATACACACATACACACATATACATACACGTATGTATATGTATACACACATATACATACATACATATACATACACACATATACACACATATACATACATATACATATATACACATATATATATACATACATATACATACATATATATATATACATACATATATATACATACATATACATACATACATATATATACATACATATACATACATACATATATATACATATATATACATACATATATATACATATATATACATACATATACATACATACATATATATACATACATATATACATACATATATATACATACATATATACATACATATATATATACATATATATATACATATACATATACATATACATATATATATACATATATATACACATATATATATACATATATATACACATATATATACACA